CTCGATCCCAGGACCCTGGGATCATGACCTGAGCCAAAGGCAGACGCTTAACGACTGAGCCACCCAGACACCCCGGACTGGGTATTTTTATCATAAATTTTCCTTAAATGAACTGTCAAACTTTGTCAGCTTCATTTCCATTGTATCCCCTTCATCCATGCCTTTATATTCCCAAGGCATTACATGATTTTCAGTTCTTTCCCGCAGATTATTAAAACTCCTCATATTTCTATACAATTCCTATACATTCTGTTGTGTGTGTGTGCAGTATAGATTCTGTGTAATGTATAGATTCCTATATAATACAATTCCTATACAAATCTTTCATCTTACCTAGCTTTCCACTTTCGTCAAACATACCCTGTAAAATCACAAATCACATCATATCATTCTCCTAAAAATATGTCTCAGAAGAAAGTCTCAAGGTCTGGCATTCAAAGTCTTCTTTATTCTGATTTAATAGCCTCCTTCTCTTTATCCACAGCCTTCCAGGTAGCTAATGCTCTAGCCTAACTGGTCTAACTAAACATTTCCCTATCACAGTGGACAATTTCTTACCTCTTATCATTGCATATACTAGTAACCTTGAGTGGAATGCTCATTTCTAGCTATTTTTACTTTTCTAAATTCTACTCATTCTTCATGGCCCAATACAAATGCTACCTTTTCTGTAATTATCGTTCTAAGCTAAAAACTAATTGCTCCTCTTCCAGCATCCTAATATACTCTACCCCTGTATATAGCATTTATTTCAATCCATATATTACAGATTGTTTCATATACGTTGATCAGGATCAAATTTTTTTTTTTTTTTTTAATAGGCTCTACACTCAGCGCAGGGCCCAGTGCGGGGCCTGAACTCACGACCCTGATATCGAGACCTGAGCTGAGATCAAGAGTCGGATGCTTACTGACTGAGCCACCCAGGTATTCTGATCATTATCAATTTTCTAGTTATTTTTGCATCTTTCTCACAAGCACAGTGCTTTATACACAGAAGGCATTTAATAAGTATTTTTAAACATGAATTAATAATGGCTCACATTTAAAAAATATTTTTTCTTAGATCCATAAATTTTTATAAAACTACTTTGCATTCTTACACAAAATTTATATGAACTTCTTGAACACATGATCAGTTAAAATTCAATGGCTGTTTTTTCAGAGGGTTGAGGTAGGGTAGCCCAGTGCCTTTTACTTTTCCTACCCCAACTAAAATAAAAAACAAAATCAAGCAAAAAACATTTAAGAGTTACCTTTTCAATATCTGAAAGAGAAGTTAGTGACTGATTTTGAAGAACCTCTGGTGCGGTGAATGCACGAAGATCCTGATTGGAAATATTTTCATCTGTAAATGACACACTACCAGATGGCAGCAACAGCAGAGACCATGGAGAAATGATGAAACCAAGGGCAGCAGGATCAGCTATGCTTACTGGTTTGTAGCCACACAGAATAAAAAGAAAAAAAAAACTGCTTAAAATTATAATCCAAGTATAGATCATTTAAAGGACTATCCCAACTTATTCATATTTATGTGAACAGGTAGTTACATACACCAAAGCAACATGCTACAAAGAGAATGGGTTTCATGCATCTACTATTGCTAACATTATTAAAAACATTACCTTGATTTGGCTTAACCCTTTAAAATTTAGATGGTAAACCTTGGAGAGCAAAAATAGAAAATTTTCATTGTCAGTCATAAGAATTAAATTTGGTTCAAAAATTTTACCACAGTGATATAGATGTACATAAGGATTAAGTGGTTCTTAAACTTTGTGTGTGGGGGGAATCATGGATTCTTTTGAGGATTTGGTGAAAAGTATGGTCTCTTTTTTGAGAATATAGATAGTAAATATAAAACTCTGTATACAAAAGAGATTCATGGATCTCCATATAGCCCATTTATGGACCCTATGTTAAGATTTCCTGATTTAGACTACAGTGTTGTGAAACATTCCTCAGATTTGGAATTAGTAAGGTTTCAACTTTAACAGAATGCCTCTTGTTTTGCATCAATATATATTTGTCTGAATTCAGATTTTTGTCTTGTTTGCATTTGTTCATTATTTCACTAGAATTTCAGGCAACTTCTATACTACCAAAGGTGATCATTGGGGTCTCTGACATTTTTTGTTTTAATGTTTGCCTGTATGGGTTCCTAACAGCACATGTTTAAAAGTATTAAAATAAAAAATAAAACTACACACACACACACACACACACACAAACATTCCTTAGATTTCAGCAGGCCTGCTCACAAAAGTAAAGGTATACATTAGGCTCAACAAAATAGACTTAGAGGGAATTTTATTTTGTCCTCCCACTGCAAAAGGAAGTTAATATACATTTTAAGGTAACCGCTGCGTGAACTGGATTATGGACTCAAGAAACTGCTATAGGAGAGTCACAAAAGGCCTGTGACTACCACTGCCACTATTATTCAATCTGAATAGGCTGTACTGATAGCTCTCAAAGCCAAATCACAAGAAATTGACAAAAGTCTATGGTACAATTTGTTAAACACACTACAATATCTGTACTTTCCTGAAACCAACTTTTATTAGAACAGAATCATTCACCCTTTCTGACTTTTTAACTTCTACTTATGGTCAAGATTCTAATCAGAATTTGACTTATGTTAATAAAAAGTAAACTATTAAAATTCATTCCTTTTTTGAAGACTGAAAAGACAATTTTATGTTCTCCTGCATTTTTTATGAATCTGAAACATGGCTTTAGTAACTGTGTCAAGGAAGAAATGTTTGAATGTATCCTTTCGTCAGTCAGCGTGTCTTATGTTACACTGAAGCTGAGTTACAGACCAGTGGTCCTTAGAGTCCCACCCAATCACACATCAGGCAGCTAAAAACATGGCCCACAATTCTTATGCTAAAATGTGTTTTAATGAATCATCACAGCTGGTAAGCCTAGGTATATTGTCTTTCAGAGCCACTTTACACATTTTCTGTTAAAAGCTTCTTCCTGGGTATTTCATGCACAAATATTACACAGTCCAGCTAAAGAGAACTCAAACAGGGCAGAACAATATTTTCTTTGCCAAACGATGCTATCCAAAATACTGGTATTTCCCATGTCACAGATATTATAAAACAGTCTACAATCAATTCCTTTCAAATTAGCAATAAAAGGGAACAAACATTAGGAGACCAATAAGGAAGGCCACCCACTAATACGTGGTATGAGATGATGATGGCCTGGAACCGCACAGTAGTAGTAGGGGTGGTGAGAACCTGTTGGAACTCGAATGTATTTTAGAGGTAGTGACAACAGAATTTCCTGACATACTGGATGTGAAGCACGAGAATGAGAAGAATCAGGATGACTCGAAGATTTTGGTCTCAGTAATGGAAAGGATGGAGTGTTTTCAACTGACTTAGAGCACAGGTAGCAGAGGTAGGGGTTGGGAGATGTTGGTAGGAATCAGAACTTTACTTTGGGACCTACTAAGTTTAAGATATCTGTTAGAGGGCGCCTGGGTGGCTCAGTTGGTTAAGTGACTGCCTTCGGCTCAGGTCATGATCCTGGAGTCCCGGGATCGAGTCCCGCATCGGGCTCCCT